TTACAGTCTATTTCTGATTAACTGTCCTCGGTAGAGTTTATTTAACAATTCATTAAATTTCACATCTATCTGGATAAACTCTATGGGAGTCCATGATAAGTAGGTCAATGATTAAATTATAAGACTGTTACAAGAATCCTGCTTCTTTTGAGCTGTTAAAATTGTTTAATTTTATCTTATTAGCATCTAACCAGGAGTGAATAGTTAAAACAATTTATTTTCAAAAAAGCATGTGAATATTATGTTTATTATCATATTATTGGAGAGAATTATATGATGACATTGCAAGTTGTGATGGTAAACACATTATTATCATGACAACAAACACATGCCATTCCTGATAATAAACATGTGAAAGCCATCATGATATAACCACAACAGTTACAGAAAAAAATCAGATCCTCAAATCTGGCTTTACTCATATAATGTCAGCATTAAAAACATTACCATATATTTTATACTGTATGGTACAGGTTTTTTTTGTATGTAATTAATTTTGATAAATGATACTAAATTCTTGAGTGAACAGAAATAGAAACATAAACAAAAACATGAATCTGATATGATTTTTTGCTGGAGTACAAAACACATATAAAATAATTACGACAGATAACAGGTATCTACCAATCTACCATCAGTAATAAAAAACCAGCACCATACTGTTTCAATTATTTGTATTTGTATGACCGAAATTCTGCAGTATGTGGTACTATTGGCAGTCTTATATCACAGTTTGTTAAAAAAATAAAATAATCTTGTACAAATCAAATTATTTTGTTCTGATAAGTTGAAGTTAGTGATGTATTTGGGATATATCTGATAAACTGCACAAAACTGAGAAATTTTAGTATCTGACTGTCCTACTCTGCAATCTATTCTTGTAGCAGTTGATAAATTTTTATTTTGTGTTGGTGAAATGTTCATGTTCCATAATGAAATGTTGAAAATACTGAATATGAGAACAAATCTGTCTGTTTGTACTTTTACTTGGGTTTAGAGTTAAGCCCCCACAGTTACATTTGCCTTTTATCTTTCAAAAGAGCGAAATGTGTATTAAATTGGTGCGGACTCCGCTGAACATTATTTATTATGTGTATTAAAAATAAAAGGTAACTTATCATTTGGCAACGCAAAATACAGTGTGTAGTATAGTTCATCATTTAAACGATATTGTTTCGGTTTTTTGCGACTGTGTTAACGTTTACAAAATATTTTAAACGTGGGAGCCTTAGTTTGGAGACACATTGACATGGTTACCATGGTTTAAGATACACTGATTGTTTCATCATCAATTATAATGAAAGATATTCAGGGACATGCATTTTAAAGTATAATCAGATTTTAATTGACAATACAAAAATTCTTCACACATAAAAGTAATCTATACAGAATTCCAGCAGGGATTTGAGATTCTCTGCTATGAAATATTGAAAACATTCCTGGAACAATTTCAATAATTTTCTTGTTAAAAACTACTTCATTCTCAGAATATATCTTCCATTAAAAAAAACATCTCAACAAAAGATAACTGCTTCTTATGCAATCAATTCCTATAGTTTTTAAGCGAAACATTTTAAAGAGTTACTTTATAGTGATAAATCTCGGTGTTAAAAGTTGGCCAATTGTGTCATTTTTCTCAGCTAGCAGGAAAGAATCACATACTAAGTAAGCAAGTTATTGTGGACAAGCATTAACACAAGTAAAATAAATAGTGTTCTAAATAAATATGTTACATTTAAGACAATTTGACACATTTAGAATCTACTGATACCAAAAGTAAGAAAATCGAATTTAGAGCGGTACATGATAGTGCATGAACTTGACCTTAATTTTGATGAGAGAAACGGCTATGTTCTATGAAATGTGGTATTTTTACTTGGCATAAACAATCACTATGATACCAAACTAACTATTTCCATGTGTTATAGATACAGTAATATACATGTTTATATGTATACATACATCGCAAAATACATTATCTAAACTGACTGCAGGAGTAATTTCATGACAGACAGATTAGACCAAGTTATATGAAAGAAAAAATAAAACTAAGTGTCACTGCAACCTTGACCTTTGACCTAATTAGCTCAAATCAATAGTAATGTTCCACAAAATTTCACAAATCTAGACTTGTTCCTTCTACGCGTATTGAGCAGAACATGATTTTCCACTAAGTACCATTGTGAATTGACCTTTGATCTAATGACCTCAAGATCAATAGGGGTAATCTACTGACCATTAACAATGTCAACAATGTCACTACTAAGTTCCTCAAGTTACTAAGCAGATCAGGATTTTACAGTAAGTATCTCTGGAACTTTGACCTTTGACATAATGAATCGAAACCAGTAAGTCATCTACTCACAGGCCATGACCATCTTCCATACTAAATATGAACGCAACAGCACGTAATAGTTATCAATTTATTTAGCAGTCATTGATCTAGCTGAAGTTCGGACAGTCAGATGGACAAGCACCATACAATAAAAGGACATTTCAGACTTGGTTGAGTCTGTTCATGAAAGGTACAACAATAGATGTTATCCGGAACTCAGCAAATTTGGGTTTTTCCATGCTAATCCCCAGGTACAAACTTTTACCATCATAGCTTCACTGTGCACATCAGTCACAATAGATTAGTCAACCAGTGTCACGCCGTAACTGTAAAAGTTTGTACCCCTGGATTAGCTGGGAAAACCCAAAATATTCTTAATTCAGGAGTAAGTCTATTCTCAAATTGGAATCATCTTTAAGCCTAGTATATAAATATTTTATATAAAGTCAGCTTTTTAAAATTTCTGAATGTGACCAATTTAAGTTTTGTGTGTCTGTCCTTAATTTTGTCCTTTCATTAGAAAACATTTATTTTAGTTATTTTGTTGACAAACATTCATTAGGTATTCATTATGTTTATGAAATGGATGGATAGATTTTCATATCAAATTATGTAATATTTTAATGTTTCTGCAGTTATGAAAGAGGACAAAATAAATAAATTTACTACCATCTAGTCTGCTGCCACATTTGTATATTATCTATGTGTTAATACAGACAGACAGACAGATGCTGAGATACATTTTTTACTACAAAACTCACTGTTATGCCTAAAAATTCCACTTACAATGAGAGAAAATAGAAATTAGGTTGATATATTCACTGGAACAAGTTAACTAATTTTGAAGACTTTCCAAGAATATGTTCCGGCATCTAATTGCAGTAGTAAATAATTCACTACACGCAATTCTTGTGCAACAAAAACAATGAAAATAAACAAATCATTTCACTGATAGATGTAAAAAGATGTGTTTTAACACGTCAAAACATTGGTGATAAAAAATGCATTTTCATCTGTCAAAATACAGGCATATCGTAACTTCTATCGACTATGCAAGGTGCTATTTTACACCAGCCTCTCTTACTTAAAAACACACGTAATTATTTATTTAAGAGAATTCACTGTTTATTCTAGATGTTTAGCAAAGTAAATGGGCTTTAAAATAAACCATGGTTTGTGTTTGTATATGTTTTTAAGAGGTATGAAAGAAACATTATCATTTTCTAAAAATAATCTTATCTGTTAAGGTTGGAAATGGTGGCTACCGAGGGCAGTGTTGCCAGTTCAGGAAAAAATGGCTGTAGCAATGGAGAAGAGTGGCAGCCGGGAGCAATGTCAATGGGGAGCAGTGTTAGTCTGGAAAATATGACAGTAACAATAGAGGAGAGTGGCAGCTTGGAGTAAAGTAAATGGGGAGCAGTGCAAGTTGGGAAAAATGGCAGTAGCATGCTTGGAGAAGAGTGGCAGCTAGGAGCAATGTCAATGGGGAGCTGTGCAAGTTGGGAAAAATGGCAGTAGCATGCTTGGAGAAGAGTGGCAACTAAGAGCAATGTCAATGGGGAGCAGTGCAAGTTGGGAAAAATGGCAGTAGCATGCTTGGAGAAGAATGGCAGCTAGGAGCAATGTCAATGGGGAGCATTGCAAGTTGGGAAAAATGGAAGTAGCATGCTTGGAGAAGAGTGGCAGCTAGGAGCAATGTCAATGGGGAGCAGTGCAAGTTGGGAAAAATTGAAGTAGCAATTGAGAAGAGTGGCAGCTGGGAGCAATGTCAATGGGGAGCAGTGCAAGTTGGGAAAAAATGACAGTAACAATAGAGAAGAGTGGCAGCTGGGAGCAATGTCAATGGGGAGCAGTGCAAGTTGGGGAAAAATGGCAGTAACAATGTAGGAGAGTGGCAGCTGGGAGCAATGTCAATGGGGATGTCAATGGGAGCAGTGCAAGCTGGGAAAAAATGGCAGTAGCAATGCAGGAGAGTGGCAGCTGGGAGCAATAAAAGTTGGGAGCAGTGACAGTAGAGAAAAGTGTCAGCAGAGAGCAGTGAAAGTGAGGAGCAGTTACAGTAGAGGGGCAATGATAGAGGGCTCTAGTGGCATTTGACAGTGACAGTTTGAAGAAGTGGCTTCGGAGGGCAGTAACATTTGGCAACAGTGTCAAGCAGAGGGCAATGCAAGTGTAGAGAAGTGGCAATTTGGAGCAGTGCGAATCAGGGGCATGCATTTTGAGATGAATCTGAGATGAAGTGCCACCAGTTTAAGTCCTATCAAATATATTTCTAATTTACTTGAGCAAACACTTTACTCTGATTTAATCTAACCAGATAAAAGGACAATTAAAGTTTGAGAAGCAATAATGACAAATATGGTACATTATAAAAAGAGTTTTGTCTTTGTTTCATGCACTTATTTGTTACATAAGTTGCTAGTATTATTGTAACTACAACTTTGTCCAGCTTGAAGTTTAACTAAAACCATAACAGCTTTTTAATTTCATGATAATTCTGCAAAAAATATTTGTCATAAGGAACCAGTGAATCTTAATCTTGGAATTTCTTTGAAATCACTTAAAGAACTCAAAGAACTAATAAGAGACTATAAATAAGAAATGGTACAATTTTTCCAATGAACATTTCACACCTGTGATAGAAAACAAAATAAATAATTCATACCTCATTTGGCTCTAAATTCTCACCAACTTCTGCCATTATAATATATGACCTGTCATCTGCTTACATAAATCCACTCTTTATATTGTAATCCTTTAATAGTACAGATTGTTTTTATGATATGTCTCTTTTTATATCATTGATATTGTTTTATGATATATCCTTTTTATATCATTGATATTGTTTTATGATATATCCTTTTTAAATCATTGATATTGTTTTATGATATATCCTTTTTATATCATTGATATTGTTTTATGATATATCCTTTTTATATCATTGATATTGTTTTATGATATATCCTTTTTAAATCATTGATTGTTTAATAACACATAATAATCCACTTGTAGTTTGTCTTCTTCTATGCCATAAATTCCTTCAGTATCATGTAATATTTTGTATTACATAACTCTTCCACAGAATGTTTATTATCTTTATCTTTTTAATGTTTATCTTTTCCACCATAAAATAATACTTTTGGAATAATGCACTCTTTCTATTTGAAAATTAAATGTCCTACATACATGTATATATTCATTAATTGGTTAAACATGTTCTCATGTACATCATATTTCCATGAATGTAGACTTCTTCACATTATAATCATTATGAATATCTATATGTTTAATTAATATTCCTTTAATTATTTAAATAATAATTCCTTTTGCTAACGTTTCTATGGTATTAACACACTTTTCCAATACAAATTTGTCAATCACTTCATCAAACGTTATTTTTCTGAATATACAATGACAGCTTTAACAATTCTTTCCTTATTTTTCCTTCTTAAATAACAAATATTTCAATATTTTACCTATAAACCATTCTCACAAATGTTATAGACCACAGTAACCTTTTTTTCTAGAAATGAAATTATACATGGTAGATATAATCATGTTCCTGTATCAATCATATACCTATAATATACAAGATGTAAATCTGAAATTTCACAACTGTGTATCAGTTTTAATTCATTTTCTTTGAATGTCAATATGAAATTTCACAACTGTATATAATGTATCAATTTAAGTTCATTTTCTTTGAATGTCATTGGCAATATAACTATATATAGATAATATTACTGTAGACTTATGTTACCTGTATACAGGTAGATGTTTGAACTCTAATTCAGTCTTTTTTTCAAATTAAGTCCTTCAGTGCTTGCACGTAGTGCAGTTGGTTGAATGTATTTGGGACATGTGGTGCAGTTAGTTGAATGTAGGTGGGACATGTGGTGAAGTTAGTTGAATGTAGGTGGGACATGTGGTGCAGTTAGTTGAATGTAGGTGGAACATGTGGTGCAGTCGTTGAATGTATTTGGGACATGTGGTGCAGTTAGTTGAATGTATTTGGGACATGTGGTGCAGTTAGTTGAATGTATTTGGGACAATGTGGTGCAGTTAGTTGAATGTAAGTGGGACATAAAATTTCTGAAATTCCAATAGTAATTCCATGATAACTGAAGGATGTTCCTTTGTGAATTTAATTTTTAAGTCAACTGTAAATTCAAGATGTTCCTCCTCATTCAACTGGAGGATGCTCCATTTCTAACAATCAAAATTGAATAATGATGTCTCTAATTGAATTATGTAAGGATGTTCCAATGCTACTGAAGGAAACACATTCTTAATCCATTAAAAATTAAATAATATTTTGAACATAAGACACTGTTTCAGTATGTTTTAAATGAACATGTTCCACAGTTACAGTATGTTTTAATTGAACATGTTCCAAATCCATTTCCTCACACATATAAAGTGAGATATGTCTAACAAGCTTTTAACAATGTCACATAAAAACCAAATCTTCAAAATTCATATTATTCCTCTTGCAAATCATTATGTATGTTATACTCTAGTACTTAAAATGAAGGAAGCGTACCTTTTAAACATGCAAAAAAGTTCCATTTTTACTTACATCTTATAATACGAAGTAACTTCAAAATGATTATAAGTATAGTTATAACTAGTACACTATAAACTATAATGCCACTTTTTTTCTCAAGAACAATAAATATATCCTAACATAGTGTCATCATTAACAAAACAGATACTTCCACAAGACCTGATATTATACGCCTTAAATGTACCTTAAAGAAGCTGTAATAAGGTAGTCAGTAATCTTCCGTTTATAATTTTGCCTGCAGGGAGGCATGATAACTTCATCAAGACATGATTAGATGAAATTATTAGTTGGAGACAATAAAATCAATTTGAATGAATCTATGTGAGGCTAATGTAATAGATCATTGTCACTCAAAACAAGGAAAGGATATCATCAACTTAAAATACTGAAGACAGTTTCTCTGAAATATTGGCATGCATTTATTGTATGAACATTTTTTTGGGTGCATAGCTCTTAAGATTATAATTTATTGAAAGAGATGAATAAAATCACTTGACCCATTGACCTTAAACAACATGGTTAGAAATAAATGGTTATAGGCATGAAATTACTAAGTTAGATTCTTATCAAATATATTCTGTATTCTGAGAGAGTGAGAAACATGTAATGTGTGCCAGAATAGTTAACAAATATGCTTGAATAAATTAAATTCTAAGCATTAATCTCAATAACTATTTGTCTTTGTCTAGTCCTTCACTTTAATTCTATCATATCAGTGACTTTCTATTTGAAGATTAATACTGGTTTGTTACAGTGTCAAACTTTCAGGTTTTGAGTGCTTTGATACGTATGTTAAATGTATTATATTTATAACTTCAAAATATGACCTTGACCTGATAACATTGCTTGGTAACCAACTCAAGGTTAATATTTTGATTTGTTTGTACCAGATACTTCTGTGGTAAATGCAGCAAAGGTTTATTTTGTTAATCTTCTTTGGTAAATGACTTTGAACAATACACTTTGTTACCATGGTAATAATTCTTAAGGTAATAACAGGGTAAATGAAGGATTGATTATAATCTGATATCTATAATATGGTAGCATTAGTTTTAAGAAGGGAGAAATCAGCTTGGGTTAGCAATTTGAGCCAAATGTGCAGTGTGGATAATGGGTTGATGGCAATACATTATAAAACATAATTATCATCAACATTAATCCCTGTTTCAAATGGTTTATATAGGTTGCAAGGAAACAGTTATGATGTTGATATCTAGGAATGTTTGTTTATAGGTAAACTGTCCAATGTTTATAACTGAAATTATGTAACTGTTACACCAACATAAAGAAAACAAACAAAGTAATAAAACAGGCTTATATAATAAATAACATGTTGTTTATATGTGGATGTTTGTTTCTACAAGATGTATAATGTTCACATGTACACTGCAAGTGTTGCATTATTTATAAGAGAATCCAAAACACTGCTGTCATAATTTTCACTTTATATTCATTATGTTGATTGCGACAACACTACATCTATACTATTCTGTTATAATTGATATCATATGTGCAAGCAGGTCATTATTGGCTCTGATACTGTAGAACAATCAATTAAACAATTATCTGATATCATCTGCTGACATTTTATAGTATCTTTTCGTAAATCAACACTTATGAAATATTAATTGTAAATAAATCAAATAAAGCATATATAATTAGAGAAGTTGATTCAACGTTCATAAATTATTTAGTTTCTACAACGTGCCATACCATACAGATCATAATGGTGAGCTGTCTTAACAGATTTAAATGTACAAAATTTTCCTGAAACCTGCTGGAACCAAAAGTGATGTGAGCCTTTGCAACCAAAATAGAGCCAGGCCAGCCTTCACTTTTGTGCAGTCTGGCCTGATATCCAACCAAAATTGATAATGGATAGTTCCAAAAATGGAATCTGGGTCAGTCTGTTTAAGAAATTTAGCAGGTTAATGTAAACTGATACACCATACAGCAGTTGTGACAGAAGAAATGTTTTATATTCCTTGTAACTTAATAATCATGTATTTTCTATTTTTAATATATCTAAAATAAAAGATAAACAATCTTATTAAAAATCTGACATTACATTAAGCCTAAACAGTTTGTTTTACACTCAAAAATGCAATTAAGACATGTTAAATAAGTTTCTCCTCAAGCTGTTTTTATGAATATGCTAAATCTATTGACAGAAGATGTCCCAGTAAATTTTGGTGATTTTCTTACAGTTGATGTCGCCCAAGACATCATATAATAACCTTAGATACAATACGCAAATTGTGGTTCTTGATGATTTTATCAATGAATGGAAAGAATCCTTTCAAAGACAAACATCAACTGATTCTTTTTGTTCCTTCATACTTCTTAGAAATTATACTTACCAAATAAAATGATAATGTATCACACAATTTTTTTTAAAGATTTTAATTTTCATGTTCTTTGAATTGCTATTGTTGATACTCTGATAAATATTACCTGTATGAACCATTAGAACTTTTAACTTTTATTATGGTTTTTCCATTGTAAAATGAATATTTTTAACAAACTTTTTATATCCTTGGATTTTATTTTCACATTTTATAATTGTTTCAATAATAGCACATTTCCAAAGGCATTCACACTCTTGTTTCTCCCTTAGTTTTAATGACACTCATAAATATTCATAGCCACCCACATTATCAAATAAGTTACACTTCTACTCAAACACATATAAAAATTCCATCCAAGAATGCCAAAAAAGAAGTATATATGAGAAAATGCTAAAAATGCTACCACACAGAATAAGAAGTGAGGTTTGTACACGCCTTATGTAAAAGATACAATGGAAATCATCCGCAAATTACCCATCGTCAAGAAAACAATAATATCATCCGTAAAGTAATGGCATCCCTGAGAGATTCGACCATAACAAAAGAAACAATATACAGATTAATTAGTGTAAACCACTATCTCTTTGACATTAAATACACACAGTATAATAATCCACTCGCTGTGTCTATCATTTCATTTCCAACCCATTACACAGCAATTACATAATATATCATATTTATCATCATTTAATACCTGATTTTAATATCAATAAAACACTACACTGCAGCCGCGATATAGCGCTATCCGATATAGCGCTAATCTCAGTAGAACGCTCATATGCCTTGGCTCCCAAAAAAAAAATCGTATTTTTCGTCAGTTTTAAATTTTTTTTCATGTATATCAATACCGCGCCTTATCCACTATAACGCTTGTTCAATGTGTCAGTCTAGTGCAATAAACAATAATAATTACGTCACTCATGATCAGAAGGTGTGAAATCATACACAGGTAAGCGTTAATCCGCTCTTTTGTTCATGTTGAACTGTTGATCAGTCAGGTATCAAACTGTTAGCTGTGACATGCAAACACCGACGAGTTGAGTAAATCACACAAGCGTACAATGAATTTTAAAAAGCATGCATTCTCGATCTATCGGCAAAAAAGTTGTTGCTATCTAACGAAGAGGATTATCTCAGGATCTTGGATTTCAGCATCGATTATTTTGATTACATTGTCTTATTATCATAACTTTATTCACCTAATATTTACGCTGCTTAACACATTTCACCCTTACATTAACAGTGCACTTGTTTTCTTGTTTTTGTTATTCTTGCTATATTTTTTTTTATAACACTGTTTTTCTTCCCCTTTTTTACTAACTTTGTTCGTAGTTTTTTTGTTTTTGTTTGTTTCATTTTCTGTTTGTTGTTCATTTTCTTTTATTTTGAACTACGAGGAAAAATGGCTGCTATGGAGGAATCAAGGAAGAGGAAGGCATTCACCATCGTAGAGAAGCTTCATATTGTGGACAGGATCAGGAACGGGGAAACACAGGCGAAGATCAGCAAGGAGACGGGAGTAGCGGGTTCTACATTACGTGGATGGCTTAAGGACGAGGGTAAATTACGGGCCGCTAGCAGCACGATGGACGATGGTGGTCAGATAAGGAAAAGAGCCAGACATGCCAAGGACCATAACCTTGAGACAGCCGTTCTTACATGGTTTAATCAAGCGAGGTCCGAAGGCATGCCTGTCTCTGGTCCTGTTATCCGGGCCCAGGCAAAGAAGATGAACCAGGAGTTGAATGGCGATGATAGCCAGTTTGAGGCATCTAATGGATGGCTCTCACGGTTTAAGCACCGTCATTCAATCTCCCAGGTTACGATAAGAGGAGAACAACGGTCCGCAGATGAGAGTGCAGCAGCAGCTTACCCGGAGGAGCTAAGGAAATTGGTGATGGACCAACAACTATGTGCTGACCAGATATACAACTGTGACGAGACCGCGTTGTATTTCAAGATGCTCCCCGATAAAACATTGGCTTGCAAGACTGACACCCAGAAAACACTAGGGTTCAAGCAGGCTAAAGATCGTGTTACTGTCTTGTTATGCTGTAATAAGGCAGGAACGCATAAGCTTGCTCCCCTAGTGATAGGGAAGTTTGGGAAACCAAGATGCTTCCACCACATTAATATGAGTAGCCTTCCAGCTCTCTACAGGCATTCTAAAAATGCTTGGATGACGTCAACAATTTTTGAGGAGTGGTTTCATGAGGATTTTGTGCCTTCTGTCAGGAAACACCTGCGCCGTAAAAAGTTAGAGGCGAAGGCCATTCTTCTCATGGATCACTGCCCTGCTCATCCGGGTGTTGAGTCGTTGACGTCACTGGACCGTAAGATTAAGGCCGTGTTTTTGCCCAAAAACACCACTTCAAAATTGCAGCCTTTGGATCAGGGGATAATTGCCACTTTTAAGCGCAACTACCGGCGTAATCTCACAGGCATTATGATTGAAAGCAAAATGTCTGTGTCTGATTACCTGCGCAAGTTGAACTTAAAGGAAGCAATTCATCTCTGTGGGGATGCATGGAGAGAGGTTTCAACGAAGATTTTTTCACAAGAGACAGCAGGAAAGACGATTAATTTAGTCCCATCAACTAGGTATCAATTTTCATGACTACACATAACTCACGTAAACACCGTTTTTTACTGGAAATTTATAAACAATAAGAACATTTGTGGTTTATATTTTTAATTCGTAAATTTCATGTTTATATCAAACATAATCAGTAATGCTTTACAAAATAATAAATTATAATATATCAAAAAAGTTTAGACTGATATCCATTGATAGGTAAGTAAACAATCATTTACGCTAATAAGCGTTATATGTTTTGGCGGTGGGTGGGGTAATGCAATATTTTCGTTATATTAACAAAATGAGCGTTATAAAAAGTTACTCGATACAACGCTGTCTTGAGATCATGGACCCCAACATGAGCGCTATAACGAGGCTCCAGTGTATATTTACACATCACATTTAAGAAAAGAAATATATATACATGTACATGTATATAAGAACATAAGACTTAGTATATTTTTTGTGGGAAATAATAATTAGTATATATTTAAACAGTGGGAAATAAGAATTAGTGTATATTTAAACAGTGGGAAATAAGAATTAGTATATATTTAAACAGTGGGAAATAAGAATTAGTGTATATTTAAACAGTGGGAAATAAGAATTAGTATATATTTAAACAGTGGGAAATAAGAATTAGTAATACACTGCAGCCGCGATATAGCGCTATCCGATATAGCGCTAATCTCAGTAGAACGCTCATATGCCTTGGCTCCCAAAAAAAAAATCGTATTTTTCGTCAGTTTTAAATTTTTTTTCATGTATATCAATACCGCGCCTTATCCACTATAACGCTTGTTCAATGTGTCAGTCTAGTGCAATAAACAATAATAATTACGTCACTCATGATCAGAAGGTGTGAAATCATACACAGGTAAGCGTTAATCCGCTCTTTTGTTCATGTTGAACTGTTGATCAGTCAGGTATCAAACTGTTAGCTGTGACATGCAAACACCGACGAGTTGAGTAAATCACACAAGCGTACAATGAATTTTAAAAAGCATGCATTCTCGATCTATCGGCAAAAAAGTTGTTGCTATCTAACGAAGAGGATTATCTCAGGATCTTGGATTTCAGCATTGATTATTTTGATTACATTGTCTTATTATCATAACTTTATTCACCTAATATTTACGCTGCTTAACACATTTCACCCTTACATTAACAGTGCACTTGTTTTTGTTATTCTTGCTATATTTTTTTTATAACACTGTTTTTCTTCCCCTTTTTTACTAACTTTGTTCGTAGTTTTTTTGTTTTTGTTTGTTTCATTTTCTGTTTGTTGTTCATTTTCTTTTATTTTGAACTACGAGGAAAAATGGCTGCTATGGAGGAATCAAGGAAGAGGAAGGCATTCACCATCGTAGAGAAGCTTCATATTGTGGACAGGATCAGGAACGGGGAAACACAGGCGAAGATCAGCAAGGAGACGGGAGTAGCGGGTTCTACATTACGTGGATGGCTTAAGGACGAGGGTAAATTACGGGCCGCTAGCAGCACGATGGACGATGGTGGTCAGATAAGGAAAAGAGCCAGACATGCCAAGGACCATAACCTTGAGACAGCCGTTCTTACATGGTTTAATCAAGCGAGGTCCGAAGGCATGCCTGTCTCTGGTCCTGTTATCCGGGCCCAGGCAAAGAAGATGAACCAGGAGTTGAATGGCGATGATAGCCAGTTTGAGGCATCTAATGGATGGCTCTCACGGTTTAAGCACCGTCATTCAATCTCCCAGGTTACGATAAGAGGAGAACAACGGTCCGCAGATGAGAGTGCAGCAGCAGCTTACCCGGAGGAGCTAAGGAAATTGGTGATGGACCAACAACTATGTGCTGACCAGATATACAACTGTGACGAGACCGCGTTGTATTTCAAGATGCTCCCCGATAAAACATTGGCTTGCAAGACTGACACCCAGAAAACACTAGGGTTCAAGCAGGCTAAAGATCGTGTTACTGTCTTGTTATGCTGTAATAAGGCAGGAACGCATAAGCTTGCTCCCCTAGTGATAGGGAAGTTTGGGAAACCAAGATGCTTCCACCACATTAATATGAGTAGCCTTCCAGCTCTCTACAGGCATTCTAAAAATGCTTGGATGACGTCAACAATTTTTGAGGAGTGGTTTCATGAGGATTTTGTGCCTTCTGTCAGGAAACACCTGCGCCGTAAAAAGTTAGAGGCGAAGGCCATTCTTCTCATGGATCACTGCCCTGCTCATCCGGGTGTTGAGTCGTTGACGTCACTGGACCGTAAGATTAAGGCCGTGTTTTTGCCCAAAAACACCACTTCAAAATTGCAGCCTTTGGATCAGGGGATAATTGCCACTTTTAAGCGCAACTACCGGCGTAATCTCACAGGCATTATGATTGAAAGCAAAATGTCTGTGTCTGATTACCTGCGCAAGTTGAACTTAAAGGAAGCAATTCATCTCTGTGGGGATGCATGGAGAGAGGTTTCAACGAAGATTTTTTCACAAGAGACAGCAGGAAAGACGATTAATTTAGTCCCATCAACTAGGTATCAATTTTCATGACTACACATAACTCACGTAAACACCGTTTTTTACTGGAAATTTATAAACAATAAGAACATTTGTGGTTTATATTTTTAATTCGTAAATTTCATGTTTATATCAAACATAATCAGTAATGCTTTACAAAATAATAAATTATAATATATCAAAAAAGTTTAGACTGATATCCATTGATAGGTAAGTAAACAATCATTTACGCTAATAAGCGTTATATGTTTTGGCGGTGGGTGGGGTAATGCAATATTTTCGTTATATTAACAAAATGAGCGTTATAAAAAGTTACTCGATACAACGCTGTCTTGAGATCATGGACCCCAACATGAGCGCTATAACGAGGCTCCAGTGTACTAGCAATTTTATCAACAACTTTCTCTCTTAAAATGGGAGGAATTTATTATTTTTTCTGACGGGTATTGAAGTGTTTCTGTATAAGATGTCGTTATCTTGCATATGTCTATTTCCAGTTACTATGCAGTGAATGTTTCAAACTTATAATAAAAGCCCTTTGGCAGTGAATGTATTGAAAAGGGACCCTCTAGCATTAATTATAATATCCACAGTAAACATAGATGAGACATGGAAGCCCTATAATGCTGATGCATTTGATGCAAACAGCTGTGCTGGAAGTAAAATTTTATTTCTTCAAAGTAAATCTATACACATGTAACTATACATTATACTATGTCATTAACATCGTACTGTAAAAATGGCATTGAAAAATTGAAAATGTTGCACACTTGGCTTGATTCAGTCTGGAAGTTAATTAAGTTCTTTTTTCATAATGTTTTGTAAAGGATTACAAATAACAAAAGATCACAGCAATTTCAGTCTGATTCTGATTTTAAATGTACACCAGTAATTCATTCTTGTACACCTTTTAGTTAATATTAATATCTTCAATGAAAGTGTAAATCAAGATTTTCTGCTGAAAATCACATTCAAAAATTTATTTCAGGGGCTGGGGAAGGGGGGGGGGGGTGTTGTAAAATGGGATACTACTTGACCTCATTATAGAGGCATTTGTCATCATTTACCGTAAAATTCCTATTAAACGCCCCCAGGGGCTAAACATTTTCCAAAAGGGGTGCTATTATTACAACATGTTTTTCCTAAATCCAAAAATCATTGAAAATACATTTAGTGTAACATGGGTTGGTAATAACATTAAAATGTGTTAAGATTTTAAAGTTCATGTGATACATTTTTGTGTTTACTATGAAATAAAATGGATTCTGAAGGATTTGAATAAAATTACGGATTTATTAAAGAGTTCACCACTCATGAGCAGATTTTTTTCCATATCAAAGAGCCTGGGGGGGGCGTTTATTAGGAATTTTACGGTAATATAAAATTAAAAACATGGTGAGTACAGCTCAAAACATTTCCTTGCCACACTTCATGGTAAGCTAAGTAACTTTTTTCTTCTTTTCAGAATGAAAAAATGATTATACTGGGGTCCTTCATATTTACCGGACAATCAGTCAACCGGACAAAATCTATTCCTGTCAAATAAGGCTTTATTTTTTGCTTCGATTTAAAAATCATCCGGTCTGAATCGTACACACACTTTCTGTTTCAAAGTAAATAACAACAAAAACACTCTCAGGTAAATATTGTTGATTCAGTTCTTCATTTACTAACATACCCTTTTGTTTACGAGTTATTTCATGATCTGGTCATGCGGGGGAATATTCTGTTCTGCGCATGCCGAATATTGATGGGTTATTTTAGATAGGTTTCACTTTAAATTCTTCTCAACGTTATCTCAGGAGACAATCATCACAAATTTTTATGATAAAAAGTAATTTTAAATTTAGTTCAAACAGTATCTTATTGTTGTCTTTTACAAAGAAATGCAAATTAAAACATATAAGGAAAGGGGTTACGCCCATGGGAGGAAATTCTACATGAAATGTAAATAAAACAGATCTTTTGGCTTTTGCAACATGCTACATGATGACCAAAAGGACACTGTATGACAAAGAATAGAATTCCATTTGAATTTCAAACTGTTTCATACGTTTAAGAATCATGAAGAATCAATACGTTAATTGAGTAAAAAGTTTTAATTTCAATAACACCCCTATATTAGCCTCTTCGTAATAGCATGGCTGCCGTGTCTATTTTAGTGACATACTGGGTTTTTGCAATATCTTAACCTTGCCATTCAATAGCTGATTATTTAAATATTAATTTCAAATCACGATTTTAAAAAATAATCGAAATGCTATGTCCGGTAAATTGAGCTGTCTACACGATTTTTTCTCTCTTATAATGCCCTACTTTAAAGACACATTTCTACGGTCAAATATTTAATTTCATGTTTGTTAAAGTAATGTTTACTTGTATTAAGAACCCAAAATTATTTGGGTAAAATTCCATTCTTTTTTATTATTTCAAATAAAAGTTACAGCAAAAAAACATCATATTTTGTCCGGTAATATGTAGGATCCCAGTACGTATCAAAGTCAAAACTTGGCAATATGAGCTGATCTGATTCACATCTTACTTAAATCAAATAGTTACAAGCCAAGTTACAGGATTTATAAAACATTTTCAATAAAAGTATTTTTTCCACCACCAAATCATTGGCTTGTCAATTAAAGCAATCAGACAATCACTTCATTTGACTGTCTGTTTTGGAATGCACTTTAACTTTCATTTCTTAAAGTACAAACAGTTACCTGCATTCAATTTATTCTAGAGCTTAATTTAATTAATTTAATTATATATTTTCATTATCCCAATCAAACCAAGTGTGCAATTTTCTTTCGCTATTTTCATTCCATTGGTCTTGAAAGACCTTTCTTTTGCCAATATTATAAGAATTCTGCTTAAGCTGGTGCTAGGGGGCATGGAAGGTAACTTGCACTTTCCAGTACCGTCCTTAAACAGGCTTAATCAAACCGAGCCGAACATTGGTATTTAGGGTTTCTATTATCTTATTTTGACATACTAGTATCACAACTGAAGACAAATAATTATAAATTGTCATCCTGAAATATATAATATTTATACAAGAAAAAAAATGATGAAAAGCATGAATTAGTGATTTAATTGAACATGTACCTCAGGCCACTTAAAGCAATGCAATCCTATAACCCAACAAATTGCAACAATACTGCTGTGAACTGTTGCTGTTGAAGGTATAAAAAGGGGAGTGCAGAAATGCAGGTCAAACTTCTTCGATGAATACATTATATTTATTGGTAACGAAACTGGTAATGAAGATATTGACACCAACTTTATTTCATTTACCAGTCATCTGTTTATTGTCTCATGAATTTTTAAACCAGATACTAAATATTTTGGTACAGATTCTGATTGATTTTTGTTGATGTTATAGCATAGTCTAGAAGATTTCTCTATCATAAATTTTTTCAAATGATAATTATTGAAATGTCAAGAAATCTTGATTTACTGTGAGAAGCAGAAGTATCAAGTTTATTGAAATAGACTGCTTGTCTATTTTAAGTGACAAATATAATCATTCTAGACTGGTTATTTCAAAGCACACAGTAACCTTCATTATTCTTTAATGCAAATATCTATAACAAAATATCATTACATAATGGTCATTCATTCTGATATTTAGAGAATTCAACTAATTTTTTAAAAGTAACAAAATTAAACGTCTTGCAGCTATTGCAAGATGCAATGGATTCATATTTGTTGAATCAAGAACAAAGTGCTTTTAAACTTTTTGTTTTGATTATACCTTAAGAATTCAAATAAGAAGATTATTGGACAAAAAGTCACTTTTAAATTTATTGCAACAGTCATCCCTCCAAAATATACCAAGCAAAAGAAGTGCAAATGACTTTGGGCTCTCTTCGTGGCCAAGTACATGATCAATTTTAAAATCACTAATTTGAGTTTTCATCATTTCACTTTCCAGTACCATCCATGAACTGGCTCAATCAAACCTAGCATGCAACAGTTTCAATTTTGTTAATTTGGGTGTTCTTTAAGGATTCCTTTCTTCTCTATTTTGTATAATTTATTTATAACATGACAACAACACAATTGTAACTTATTATATTTACGTGATTCTCCAATCAAGAAAAATCACAAAAACAGCACGCTATTCATCAAAACAACACAACTATAATGTTTGTACTTGTTGAATCAATTATATACCAGTATTTATACCTATTTTACTATATGGTGATGTCACAATCATAAGTACCAACTAATCAACAAGTGTCATGTTTTCCAGCAAACATAATCTAAAGCACATATATTGCATTAAAGCACTTTATATAAGATCTATAAATATGTGACAATAATATTATTGTAAAAGTATTTTTCTTTTAAAAAGATATAAATATTTAAATAGATTCTAACACTCTTTTATGATAACCACTTTTCACAATTTGTAGTTAAATTTGTATTATCACCATCTTTAGAATGAAAGTGCACTAACACCGACATAAGACAATTTAATACACTTGTCTTTTATACTCTGTTTTTTTTGCAGTTTGTTGATAAAAAGAACCGCACACACCAACTAGTCTTGAATAGCAAAATTGTCCTCAAGTTCATTGGCTAACTATGCCATTATGACCTTAGTTTAAAGCCAATAAATTAAAGACAAAACTTGTCTTGACATGCAAGAGCAACATTAGGGACTCATTGCTGTATGCAAAAAGAATATTTGAAGAAACAAAAAGTTTGCCTTCATCATAAAGGAATATGGGTAGCTTTTGTTTGTTT